TCTTAAAATAGGGTTAAACCGCTTCGTTACGTAACGCGTTACGGCGCCATTCTGTCTGGCATCCCTTTCCCTCACGCATACAGCAGCGGTACTGAAAACGTATGTCACTCCTAACTATTTATATATCCTTATCAGCTTATGTTACAGTTTTCTTTACATTATCATATAAGTATACATAAAATTTAAGGAATAATCTAAGGTTTTTTCAGTAATTTCAATATGAAATAGTTCAACTTAGATGAATTTAAATTATCATTTCTGTCGGGCGTCCCGAGACGCACAATTTTATATGTATTTTTTTTAAATGAATTAAATTTTTATTCCACGACTTAGCTGTTAAATAGGGCTTCCGTGTTCTTATTTGCTCAGTTAGCAACCCTAGCGCTCTTAACTATAAACATGTCCCTTAAACAGGTGAACTTTAGACCTTTCTCATTCCTAGTTCCGAAGTAACAAGGAACGGCGGGAATTAACGTGTATTTAACGCTAAATAACTGTTGAATCTGGATTTATTTTTAACGAGAACCGAGATTGCGTTAGCCAGTGCCGCATTTTGATTTAAAAAAAAAAACTGTCCTCTCGTAGTTTCAATGCTTTCGAAAGTCCGGTTTGCTGAAAGTTTTTGTTTTTGTAAAGTTTAAATAAATCTCTCAGTTTAAAAAAGTTTTATTTTGTTTCCGTAATTAGTTACGTGTTAGTTAGTTAATTAACGTGCCATACATCTCACGAGTAAGTAATTAGAAATACTTTTACGATTTAATCTCGTGTTTTTTTTTCCACTGTTTAATTTCTGACACTTCGAATACTTTACAGTTATGATCGTCTACCTACATAGGCAATGAAAATAACAACTATTTTCATCTAATAAGTCATGTTATCTATTACTCGGAAACCACTATACTTTATTTATTTATTGCTTAGATGGGTGGACGAGCTCACAGCCCATCTGGTGTTAAATGGTTACCGGAGCCCATAGACATCTATAACGCAAATGCCGACACCCACCTTGAGATATAAGTTCTAAGGTCTCAGTATAGTTACAACGGCTGCCCCACCCTTCAAACCGAAACGCATTACTGCTTCACGGCAGAAATAGGCAGGGTGGTGGTACCTATCCGTGTGGTCTCACAACAGGTCCTACCACCAGTAAATACTGAAGAAAATTATGGTTTGAAATCGCTCAACATAGAACAAGCAGAATACATTTATCGGTGGCAGGACGTCTGAACTTGTCTGCCGTGAAGCAGTAATGCGTTTCGGTTTGAAGGGTGCGGCAGCCGTTGTACAGAAAAATGAGTTTTATAACTCATGTCTCAAGTTAGGCCACACTAGGTAGAACGCTAGCTCGTGCACCCAGCTACAAAAAAATCCATTTCTAAAAACGTAAGACCATTCATACCTCTCTCTCTCTCTAAAGTCGGTCAGAAAAAATGAAATTCATTAATAATTTCCTACACATAGATTCATTGACTCCATGACTATGAAAAGTATTCCATTAAACATGAACGTTACGAAGTCAGACAGGCAACAGTGTAAATAACATCTAAAGATGCAGTACGTGTAAAAGTTGGTTTGATTGAAACCGTAATAAGGCGTGCTGTCAAGTCTTGTGTACGTCAACTGTCAGTAGTAGAGTCAACACGTGATCGAATTGTATAGAGTATAGACAAGAGTTGGATTTAGGCTACGTTCCGATATACACTGCGAGCACTCTACAGTGCTCTTACTGAAGATAAAGTTCATTCTGTTATGCACTGACTGTTATACAGTCGCAGTGTCCTTGAAATATATATGACGTCATAAAGCGCCGCCATTTTTCTACTGTGGACACTGGTGTTTTTCTCAAGTAAGGTGCTCTCAGGGCTTTGATCACGTGATCACTTTTACCTTAGATAGCCCCTTTTCAGTTATTCGGTTTTTTTACATTAAATTGCTTAAAAAACAATATTTTCTTAGTAAAAAGTATACTTACTTTTATTATGCAACTAATGCAAACTGACAATAACTTGAATGTTCAATTTTTAAATAATATGTCCTCTCCTCCTTCAGTCGATCACTCATTGCTGAGCATCGTGATACGGCCGCATCACGAAATATTATATAACTGAATTTAAAAAGTAGTTTTTTTTTTGTTGAAGCAAAAACAAAGTCAACAAACGTCGATGACACTACTGCGTTCCGTTTTAAACAGTGACCAGTATAGCTAACTATAAATATAACTAATAAGCTAACTATAAAAGAACGGCTTTGCAGTATAATAAAATTGACGTCACACGTTACAGTGCTCGCAGTGCACATCGGAACATAGCCTTAACTTCGAAGAGAAAACCGGGGTTGCCGGGATATTTAAAAATTATCTTACACGCTTAACTAAACTACTTTTACGGTTTAATCTCGCTTTTTTTACTGTCCGTATATTGTGTCCTACATTTCGGATGTTTCAGTCTCTGTGGTCATGATGTCCGAATTTTAATATTTCCTACGACTCGTGAAAACTGAAGAAAAGTCATCTCACAAATAAAAGAGTAGTCGCAAACCGGACAGAAAACGTAAATGTAAAAACAAAAAAATCAATATCCATATTTCTTTTCTGAGACTGATTTTAATGTTATCCTTTTTTGTTTTTGACATAAATCGGTTTTTCTAGGTGTTTGGAAATTCTAGAAAAAATTGGTGATTTTTGCTTTAATTATACAATAATATACACACATCCTTAGGGTAGGGTAATAAGTATTGACATAGTCTATTGTCATTATCCAGGGACGAGGCAGAACCTTTACGGACTAAGCGTAGTTCTTGTTTTTTTTACTTAAACACAGCGACGCGATGCCGAATTAAATTACTGCTTATCAAATTTTAAATTTAAAAAAAAAACAATGCAAATTTGTCTTCCGTCGAATAATTTTCTCTGAATCTTAAAAAAATACATAGTATTTTGTATAAATAGTTCTAAACAGTAAATTATAAGAATGTATATGAATTATTTATTAATGTACTCTAATTATTTCTACATCTCTCCACTGCCTGTTTTGGAACGTCATCCCTTTGCTTCTTATGTTGCGCTTAACAATCGTGGGATTAGAACGTCCTAAGGTTTTTCCCTTTTACAGAATTTTAACCGAATGCTTTCCTATTAGCTAAGGGAATATCGCTTATTAGCGAATGCTCGTACAAAAAACCTTTGTTAGTAACGAGTCAATCAGGAGCGGTGATGCGAACGTCATCAGGAGTCGCGCCGCATACCTTATTTGGTATACGTTTGAGAAATGAAGAGGGACTTCGCTAAGCTTTACTGTATTGTATTAATAATATAATGTTTAATGAGTGATGCGTGCTTTTGAACGATGACGCCGAGAAAATGACGCGTTTATTCTAAGGATTAACGTTTGAGGATGACAGTGTTTTGTTTTGACATTTGACAGTTAGTTATTCGTTTATTTATGGTTAATTTTTTGTTAATTTTTTTAGCATGACATTTATTTTTTTCGGATATCTGAATTTTTTTGTGTCTTAGTTGTGTTTTTGATTTGATGCCAATACTTCCTTTGAAGTTTGGTTGATTTGTTTATAAAAACGAATAGATTTTCTAATAATTCAATTAAAAAATGATTCAATTAAATTCCTCGTTCTAAATCACTTAATTATTTTAATAGTGCGCGTAAAAGTGTTTTATGCAAAAAAAAATGGCGACAATCGTGACTGTCTGAGAGTAATTTCACTCGGCGAAGGTGTGTCGTAGTCAACGACAGGTGATCTTAGGGTTGGAACATAACTTAAGCATTTATTTATAAAACGAGCTCTATTTGTCGAGATTGTTGTTTATATATAAAACTTATATAAAGGTATATGATACTGCGTTAATTACCTATGCAATAAACAGTATCCTCTTTTGTTTATTATTAAAATGAGGTGCGTACTGGCAATTACAACGTACACTCAACAGATAAAATTCAATGTATGTATATACTCTTGTATTCGAAAAGGTAAACTTAAAAACTCCTTTGATGTACGTGAACATGTTTTTTTGTTGTTGTTTTAAATTCGTGTTTTATGGCATCCCTATGACACAGCGTTAGTGGCCAGCTCTCACCCACAATTAGTTTCAACGTTCCGACACCAATTAGGCTGCACGGCGTCATGTCCTATTGCCACACAAAAATAAACCACTTGTTTTTTTTTCTTCAGAGATCGATAATTTGCACACTGTCCTTTAACGGTATCTGTGGTTTCATGAGTTTTTTTTTTTAAAATTAGGCTCGCGGTTTAATCGCGAACTTTTTACAAAGTTTTTAAGTTGCAAAGTTTTCAAAAGTACGCCAGAATACTCGTATAGTATTTATAAAAGATTTCACTAAGTTTTGACATCATAAACTGGATAATTAAAACTAATTTTACGATTTAATATCGCGTTCGTTTCCCACAGAAATCTGACGGTAGTTAGCACAATATTTAAATGTTGAAAAACAAAACCTCATCTATACGTTCGGTGAGGATAGCACAACTATTCGAGGTTACTAACAATGGGTAGAAGAAAAAAATTATTCATAATCATCCGTGGCGAACACGAAAGGTTTTCCATAAATCGTATTTTTTTTCTCCTACCTATGCAAATAAATTCTCCAGAACAGTTAATGAATGTTAGTATAATACCACCAAAGATAGACCATGATAGACACCATGCTCTATACTAGAGATTACTACCGCTTCTGACGGTTCCCTCGGAAGGACACTAATACTGATAACCTTGAAAGGCTATTTCAGCTTCGCCCTAACGTGTATGTGAGCTCACGGGGCTCAAACCGGAGTGTTGCTAACACTGGCCCTAGCAAGAGCAGTGCTTCGCAGAATCTACCACCGGATCGGAAACGCGACCCATTGAGGCCAATAAGTCAAATGTATTTAAAATCTCACAGGAGAATAGTCGTTGAACCGCCCTAGGTAATAAGTTAAAATTTATACAAAAAAGTGTTTAAAATTATTTATTTCAATGTTTGTTTCAGTGAGAAAACACCTGTGAGGACTTCAGGTTCGTATTATGTTTTATCTATTTTTATTAAATATCATAATAGGTTTGTTAGCTAAGAAATACAATAATCGAAAAGTTAATTGGAAATTTGAAAAATCTATACTAATATTTTATATATAAATCTACAGTGGTTTTTACGGATTTTCCGTTATAACTACTGAACCATGCATCCGATTGACTTGAAACTTTGTATCCATGTAGAAAATACATGTACTTAATGGATAGGCTAATATTTATATGAGTGTTGGACTCCCTAATAATAATGACAATAAATAATAATGTTAATTTTAAATGCCCAGCGAAGCGGGCGAGTACGGCTAGTATACTTATAAATCCTTACCTTATACATACTTAAAGATTGACAAATAAATAAATCTTGGCTCACAATGGGTAATATTATGTTGAAATTAACGTAGTGAAGTCGAGTCTCCCTTGTGGAAACCACGAGTGGAGATAGCAAATAGTATTTCAGATTGCAGTATGATTTTCAATAGTAAAAGATTTTTTTATTGTCCTTGTAGGCAGACGAGCATACGGCCCACCTGATGGTAAGTGGCTAACGTCGCCCAGGGACAAAGCCAAACCGCTGCCTAACATTAAGTACTCTGCCTCGTTTGAAGAAGGACATGTATCACATGTAAAATTGTTTGTAAAGTTTATTTGAAAAGAGTCCTAAGCAGTGGCAGCAGATTAGGTACTCCCCTAGCTGATATTTATTACCATTTGCTATAGCTCAGCAATCCGTGGACCTTAATTTGCTTTCCAAAGGCGAACAGAGCGCGGAATTCAGAAAAAAGCTTAATTTTTACACGCTTTATATATTAGCTTCACTTGTATGTATGTTTGTAACTGACTCCTTTAGACGGGATTTAGACCCACTTTAAACGGCCAGATATCATTTAAACTTTGTAGATTTATCGAGGATCGATGATCATTCAATATTAAAAAAAATTTGAAAAAATATTGAAAAAATTGAAATTCAACTAAAAATGAACTATTTAAGTTAAAAAAAAAATTTTCTTGTAAAAAAAAGCGTTTCTATTTTTTTGTTGAATTTTATGTAAAGCTTGTTTTTTAGTTTTTTTTAACTATTATTTATTTGTACAGCTCTACAGATTAACGCGACCGGCACTACGCCGGTTAATAAAGTTATTATACCGGAGAAGGTGCCCCGGGACCGATCCAACAGCGTGTCTCCCATAACTCCACCGAGGAAGAGAACGTTTTCGACGTCTTCCGGAGGCTTTGAGGTAAAGATCATTAATGGGTCGTCGTGGCCTAAAGGATAAGACGGCCGGTGCATTCGTAAAAAGCGATGCGGTCCGGTGTTCGAATCCTGCAAATGTGTACCATATTTATTAATGTTTATTATATACGTTTCGCGAATTACTTGCACGATAAAGGAATGGTTTGTAATTGACTGTCTCGATGGTGAAGTAGATAGAGCGCTCTTGCCTGTTGTGGCTAGGGTCGTGGGTTCGATTCCCACATCGGGCAAACATTCGTGTGATGAAGAGGTTTGTTAGCTCTTCGTCTGAGTTTGTATTATCTATATATGTATATGTTTCAACGTATATAAGTACGTATGTCAGTCTCTGGTACCCATAGCACGGTGAATCCTGATTTGGGAATGGTTGACCATGCGTGATTTTTTCAGTATTTAAGCAATTAAAATAATTAAAAAATAGTATTTTGTAAGATAAAAAAAAATTATATGTAATTTTGGTAGGTACTTTAGGTCGCTTAAGGAATAAGAAACGATTTAAACTAGTGACTTGCCCCGGCTTCGTATGGGCGAATCAAGATATCTTGCTAACGTACTATAATATACTGGGCAGAAGCACGCGTGAATTACGACGGCATTAAAGTACTCTTAAGGTTTTTATTCGGGAAACAGTCGATAAAATTGCAGATCAACAATTTATTAATTCGATAAACTACAGACCAGCCGTGTGCGCTTAGTGCGAGTTTTTTAACGTTCTCGATAGCGTAAAAGTTAACTCAGATTTGTATGGAGTTGAAACGTAGGCACGTTTGCCGCTAGGGGCTCTGTTCCAACTCGACACAAATTCGAGTTAACTTTTACGCTATCGAGAACGTTAAACAACTCGCACTAAGCACACAGAGACACGCCATCAAACATGATGTGCGAGCTTCAACATTATGTGGAGGCTGATGACCGGTTCCCAAAACAGTTGGAGGTAGGATCAGACAGCGTATCACTACATAGTATAAAACAAAGTCGCTTTATCTGTCCCTATATCTGTCCCTACGTATGCTTAAATCTTTAAAACTACGCAACGGATTTTGATGCGGTTTTTTTTAGTAGATAGAGTGATTGAAGAGGAAGGTTTATATGTATAATAACATCCATTAAATAGTGGAGAAATCAATAATAAATTACAGTTTCCGAAGCGAAGCGAGGGCGGGTGAGTAGTTTACTTATGAAATTAATTACAGGTAAATGAATTAGAATCACCAACGAAGAAACTTAAAGACGCCAGCGAAACGAAGAAGAGAATCGATGAGAAGATTATAGATAGGTTCGATAGTGAAGCCAAGCCAGCCTGCGTGACTGTGTTCAAAGATGACGACTGCTGGGATTGATTGTAAATAAATATGGCGCAAATCTATCGTTGTTTTTTTTCAACAAATGTTCACGATTGACTTCCACGGTGAAGGAATAACATCGTGTACTAAAAATCAAACCCGCAAAATTATAATTTGCGTAATTACTGGGGGTAGGACCTCTTGTGAGTCCGCGCGGGTGGGTACCACCACCTTGCCTATTTCTGCCGTGAAGCAGTAATGCGTTTCGGTTTGAAGGGTGGGGCAGCCGTTGTAACTATACTGAGATCTTAGAACTTATATCTCAAGGTGGGTGGCGCATTTACGTTGTAGATGTCTATGGGCTCGAGTAACCATTTAACACCAGGCGGGCTGTGAGCTCGTCCACACATCTAAGCAATAAAAAAAAAAAACGCTGAGTAAAATGTACCCTGAAATTTCAACACTATGACTGAAATTCAACAAAATCACAACAACAAAAAAATCTTGTTAGGTATTAGTTAATTGCACCGGTTGGCGACGACGATGTCTTCCTTGATGTGTGTTGATATCAATGGTGACTCCAATTCCAGTCTTCCATGGTCAGTGTCGTCGGCCGAAGTGCGGTGGTCGCCAGCACGTTTGGGATTTCCAAGGGCATTGCATAATCGAAGGCACATACCGCTTTGAAACCCCAGTTCTACGGCGACGCACATTTTTCGTGTACAACACCAACTATTTACATCGAATTATATGATATTTAAAATCTATATATATAAAAATGAATTGCTGTTGTTAGTCTCGCTAAAACTCGAGAACGACTGGACCGATTTGGCTAATTTTATTCTTGAATTATTTGTGGAAGTCCAGAGAAGGTTTAAAAGGTAGATAAATATGAAAATGCTCGGAATTATATAAAAACAAACAATTTTGTTTTTCCTTTGATGTGTCCCCCGTCGGATGGATTCCTTTTGTTTGTTTTAAGTATAATATAAAATATTTTATACAAAAGTTTTTATTTATCGATTGAGGCTCTACGAAGTCTGCCGGGTCAGCTAGTTTAAAATAAAAACAGCAATGCATTCATATAAACATAACTAATAATTTTGTTTAAAACACCCCAAAATAATGTAGAAAAGAAAGAATCGTATTTTCGAATTGATAAATTATGTCATTCGGTATATTATTACATTTTCTAATCAAAATGTATTGGTTAAGATTTATTTTACCTAATATTTTTTGACTGTGTATGACTAGAACATAGCACATTTTTTTAATTATTGCGAAACTTTGTCTCTCTAAAAAGGTTAATAAAAATTTTAAAACAGCAAAAATCGCATAGTTAATATTTATTGCAAAACTAGCAGGTACACCACGATCACTGCCTCTTGGAGCTCATTATTAATTTAACGTTTATTGACATTGTATTCGTTAATTGTCCCATACAATGTCCGTTTGTGCTTCATTAAGGCATCAGTTCAATGACGGACGGTCAGAATGGACTATTGTGAATCAATCTCTACTTTAACAACATTATCAATGATGCGTATTAATTTGCAGTAATCGTATAAAATTTTACCTTAATATCGTTAATATACGTCATTATTTTGGGTGAAACACTACATAGATAATATACATAAATTAGTAATAGTTAGGCAACTCAAGCACTCAACAATAATGTTTACGGGCGTCGGCCACTAGATGGCTTTGCTTCGATTAATTTCTTATTGCTCCTGTAGATGGCAGTAACACATTACCTATCCTATATTTGATTTTTAAATGAAGTATTTTGTAAATTTTCAGAAACCCCAAATTGATAAAATGTTATCAATTTGTCTTTAACAAACAAAAACTTGCGTGCTTTACAATTTTTTTAATTTCTGTGTTTAGTTATGCAATTAGTAAATGCCTTAACTTTAACAACATATCACTTTAGGGGTCTCCGCTACAAGATGTCGCTAGTTTCCATACAAACAAATATTTGTCTTAAAGTATCGCAGTTTCAGGGCCCTGCATAATTATGTCTGATTTATTATTGCTAGCAACACTGTTTTACATCGAACTAGAAACTATTTTTTTTGTGTATTGGTCACTTTCGTAATTGACAATCATAACTGTCAAACGCTTAAGTTTTAAAACTTACCCTTATAACTAACATAATACAATAAAACGAATGAAAAGAAAAATCAGGCACAACAACAATGATTTTTAATTTAATCTACTGTTTACTTAATGTAATTAAATGACTAAAATCGCGATTGCATTAATATTGTATTTTTCTTAATGCATTGGTTTACTCTTCTTCTGTCGCAGTTTCCTTCCGCGACTTGGGACTTAGCAGGCCAGTAGGAAAACAAAACCGACCAGACCGCCAAGACCCTTGTCGAAGATAGGATTTTACAGCTTCTATACTTCTGCAGGGATAATAACAAAAACGTTTATAAATTATTTAGTTTTAAGACATAACTTTAAATAAACTTACTTAATAATTAAATAACAAACAATTACTTTGATTATTCAATTTAGGAAACGTAATTATATTATACCTATTACAATAATTGCCAGAATTTACTTATACTAATCACAACAAGAGCAGTGCTTCGCTGAATCTATCACCAGATTGAAATCGCGACCTACTGAGAAGATCCGGCGAAAAAATTAATAGGTTGTGTCAATGGGATAGGTTACACATCGAATTCTCCATCAACTCTCGGTGCTTTTAGGCTTTTAAGTACAGGTCACCATTTAGTACGAGAGTGTATGATATGTTTTGGGCAACGACGGCTTTGCATTGCCCCGTTGCCTAGGTCGAATATGTAGTTAGAGGTGATCACGATAAGAGGGTTAACTTGACACACCGCTATTTAAAATAAATATTTGACCCTGTGTTTAGATACTTACGTATCGATCCTAATTGCAGGTCTTGGCGCTTTGACCAATCTTCTTCTTTTTATCCACCTTATCCCACTAGATGGGGTCGGCACAGCTAATCCTTCCATTCTCTCTTGCATTCTCTTCTATCAGGCGTCATCTCAACACTCACTCCTCTCTCTCTCTCATATCGTCATTCACACACTCCATCCATGTCTTCTTCGGTCAACCTCTTCCCCCTCTACCTTGTACTACCATTTCCATACATCTCCTAGTCACATGCATCTTCTCTCTGCGCTTTGACCAATATCCTACAGAAACAGGATTGGATGAACTATAATGCATACATACCGTTGAACCTCATTTATTTTAAAGGTTGATGGAGAATTTACAAAAGAAGTCTTGACATAAAATCGATTTTCTTGACTTGAGAATCCACCATCACTCATCCGAGCCTTAAGGAGTAACAGTTGTACCTGTAACAAATTTAAGTAAGAATGTTCAGTCCGTTGTCGTGTGCTCACGGAGTATCAGAAAGTAATAATAACATTTATAACAAGAAAACATGTGTCCGAATCATAGATTTGATGGTATTGCTGGAAGACATCTTCCGTCTTAAGCCATCTGAAGCCATTTTAGCGGGCACACGGGACCCCTAGCTTTTGAGCCGCTACCATTTATGTTAAGAAAATGTCTATATTTGAAGTGGAAATTTATTAATTTTATTGGTTATTCTAAGCTTCAAATTGGTACGCATGCAAACAAATGTAACTTCAGCAATTGTCAAATTAAGATCGTTGTAAGAATAATGATTTCACGTGATTGTTACAGAAAATCAAAATGCATCTGATAGATAACTCGCAATGGTGAAATTAGGCATTTCCAATTCTAACGCAATTTTTTTAAAAGCGCAGTAAATATTGTCAATCGAATTCACTATTTAATTTTCGAAACAAAAACCATAACGGTCTTAATAGAAAATAATCGTACGGTGTAAAAATATTTGTTCCAATATCATTATTATCCAGGGAGGTAAGTACGGCGTATCGTTATATGAACTAACCTCGACTCGCCTTTATTCTATAACCGCGTAGGAACGCAGCGTGTCTAAACAGTTGATTTGGACGGAGAACTTGTTGCGATTACGCACGGTCTGCTAGAACATTCATAATAGTCTGTTATTGCTTATTTTGTATCAGAACCGAGGCCTGCTTAAGGTAGTCGTAATTTAGGCTCGGTAATCAATCTGAACCACTTGTGAAACTATGTTGCACGAGGATCAGCTTCTAACGCCGCAGGCAGCTAATGAAAACGAATTATTTATTAAGAAAACGCGAAATGAAATCGTAAATGTAGTTTTAAATACACAAATATTTAATGTAGGTATACACTGGTATAATGCTGTATGTAATAAGTAAGGTGTAATGTTAGCTCGCTCCGATAGGTTCCATCATTCTTCGTGTTTTAAGAATGATGGAACCTATCGATTTGCCAGTGCATTGGATAAAATTAATATTCAAACGAAAAAGGCATAAAAATTTAGCTGCAGACAGTAACAAATAATATTTTAGCATGTAAAATGTTTAAAGATTCACTACGAGCAAAGTTTATTTCGGAAAACAATAAACTAATTTTGTAGCCTATTATTTGGCGTAAATACCAACCTCAACGTTTCATGTAATAATCTGCCAAAAATATTTTTCGGTTTTTCTGTAACGGCTTTCGATTTACTGAATACGATTGCTCTTTCGAAGGGTTGGCAGAGACTCCACATTGAGTCGAGAACGTTCGTCTGCCAAATAAGGCGTAACTTACTCCAGGCCGCGAATTTACGGCGTCCATGAAACGAAAATTCCTGTGTTTCAGTTTAATTCAACAAATAGTACTGTTTTTTTTTTTTTAATTATTATTATTATTATCATTGTATTCAATTTTCGAGCCGATGAATTGCCAATGCAATGTACGCCATTGTTGTCACATGCATCAGGCCATAAATTAAATAGTTTAAATTTATTTTCAATGTTAGATGTTTGTGATGTGGCAGTACTTATGTAAATAAATAAATGAATAAATAAATAAAAGGTGGGTCAGCCGTTGTACAGTTATATTGAGATTTCCACAGCTTGCCTCAAAGCGAAATTCACGCTGTTTAGGTACTCGAACTAGTTATGAAGTTGGTTTCACGAAAACAGCAGGCATATTTCTTGACTTTT